CACCACCACAGCCTCTAATATATCTCCCATTCATCTACTAAAGATTTGGAGTTTGAGAAGTGTGAGCACCCTCCGATATCGCACCAATTCCCCATTTACCTGAGAGGTTTACCAATTTGGAGCATAAGTATAGCTTTCATCATCATCTTCTTTGCTCCATTTTACGATGTACATTATGATAAAAACGACGATGCTAATGAAGACGATCATGCACAAGAAACAGCCACAAATTCGCCGTGTTCCACTATTTTTAAATTCCTGAAAGTTTAGATTGTACAAGATTCAATAAATCGTAGCTATAGATAGCTATAGATTCAGCTATAGATTCAGCTATAGATTTAGCTATAGATTTAGCTATAGATTTAGCTATAGATTTAGCATAGATTCAGCTATAGATTCAGCTATAGATTTAGCTATAGATTTAGCATAGATTTAGGATAGATTTAGCTATAGATTCAGCTATAGATTTAGCTATAGATTTAGCATAGATTTAGGATAGATTTAGCTATAGATTCAGCTATAGATTTACTTTTTGAGTCTTATTTTAAGATTAGATAGCTTCTCTAGGTCAAAAATTGGTTCAAATCGCTAAAACCGAGTTAGACTTTATAAAATGAATATCTCGAATCGATTCCGCGTTCCTGAAAACCCTCGGGTACAAATTTACAGCTTAATTCAATGCTTTTCGACACATTTTAGTCAGAAATTATCCAGGGAATCGTATTTTTTTTGAGAACTTACATTATGGTGGCAAATCGGAGGAGTAACTCGATTTGGGATCACGACAACAGTGTTCGGATGAAGGGTTACGGTAGAAATTGGTGGCTGGCACTGATTTGTATTCATTTTTTCAGTGTGAACACTATTCGCTTAATTGAATTCGCTTAATTGATCATTTTATAGGAAATTCTTTCCCTTATCAAGTCCAAAAGCGGCTATTGAAGTTGATGAATCACTCATTTCACAATAGAGCACTCTTGGGATCAAATTTTTAGGTCTTTAGCCTTTTGTGATGAGTTTCAAATGAGAATTGATGAAATGGAAACCAAAAAAACGCGATTTTAAATGAAAAAGCAATGGTTTGAAGAGTGAGAAATGGAAAAGATTTGAAGAACAAAAGGAGAAAGGAATTTGAAAAAGTGATAAGGTGGCAATTGGTACAGTAATCTGTTAAAGGCTTTTAAAAAACTTTTACTGTTTTTAGAAGTAGTTTTTTGTATTGATAGCTACTTGTTGTCTGTATCAGTCTTTTATTTTAAAACTTTCTTGGCCATTTATGGGTGTTAATGGCCATTCATGGGTATAACATTGATGGGTATGACGTCACTGATTCTCGATTTAAGCCATAACTTTTTCTTAACTTCATAACGTAAGAGCTACCCTTTTTGTGCCAAAGTTTCAGCCCGATTTGATGCTTAGTCATATCCACAAACTCAATATTACAAGAGTTGTTTCGGCCTAGGCAGAGAGCTCTGTGCCTAGGCCGAAACAACTCTTGTTATATTCGGCTCTGCAGAGCCAGGTCAAGGTAACTGTAAGCCAGATCAGGGTTAGGCTAGGATTGGTTCTTTTTGTAGCTCAAGTCTACAGTAAACTAGGTTATCCTCCTGTTTATTACTAAATCTATAGCTCTTACTATTTTTTTGCTATGCCAGTACTTTTCTAATGTGTTCTTTGGATTCCAACTAGACTAGAACAAAAACATCGGTCCGTCCTTTTTTCTCGTTGGAAATTTAAGGCTTTTCGTGTTCGATTTTAACTATTTTAACTATTATTGAATGACGTTTTCAAACGTCCCAGATGTTTCCAGACGTTTCCAGACGTTTTCAAACGTTTCCAAATGTTTTCCAGACATTTTCAAACGTTTCCAGACGTTTCCAAACGTTTTCCAGACGTTTCCAAACGTTTTCCAGACGTTTCCAAACGTTTCCAGACGTTTCCAAACGTTTTCAAACGTTTTCAAACGTTTCCAGACGTTTCCAAATGTTTTCCAGATGCTTCCAAACGTCTAAAGCGGTCCCCAGCCACCGTAATCCTTCTAGCTAGTAAGAGTTTTATGGTTTGATCTTTGAACTTGTGCTTCTTTCATCCGTTGATGTTACAGTACGTAGGTGGATTACTATAGTTGGATTACTATACTATAAAAAATAGTTGGGTTACTGTAAAAAAACTTGCGAGTTACGGTAACCTGAGTACGCTTAAAGAGGCTTAAAGTACAGATTTAGACGTTAAATTTGCTCATTTCGATAAACGATCGCCGAAATCGTAAACGTTACCAAAGTGGCTACACACTCAGCAAGAGATATCAGTTGAACGAGACTCTCAGATCGATGCAGGTGACCTGGGTATTTTGGTTCAGTAGAGCCAGTTAAATGTCACCAAAGCAATACACTTGAATGTCTAAAGGGAGTAGGATAAAACCTTCAATCTTTGGAACAAGCAAAAAAGCTTTCGAGCAGGATGAGATTCGAACTCACGCGGGGAGACCCCATTTGATTAGCAGTCAAACGCCTTAACCACTCGGCCACCTGCTCACGGGAAGCCTGGTCTTTAAAAAGGCTAATCAGATAGATCCAAGGAAAAAAAAGGGAAGCAAACTGGGACCTCGCCTATAAGAGGGCCCCACGTCGACCGCTAGAAAAAGCCCCGACGGCCTAGGGGTTAGCGTGTTAGACTATAAAACCGGTGCGCGCAGGTTCGACTCAGCTCGCCACCAAATATTTTGCTTTTTTTGGAAAACTTCCGAAAAACACTTCTTTATGGTTATTATAGTGTTAAAGTGTAATTTGTGAGTATTAAGCTGTTTTTAAAGTATTAAAAAATTCCAATAAATGTTTATTGTCTCAATAGCAAAATTTATTGGAGCAAAGATTCAAAGACCGAGTATAACAAGCTTATTAATTTATTCTCTTCTAAAATCTAAACTTCTCTTTGGGCCTATTTCTACAGTAGACTTTACTAAGTTGCTTAGAGATTGTTTAAGAAATTTTCGAAAAAATTTCCAATTTTATTGGAATTTTTATAGGCGAAGGCCCGGTTTGCTGACCTTTTTTTCCGTGAATTTGTCTCATTAACCTTTTTGAAGACCCTGTTTCCCGTGAGCAGGTGGCCGAGTGGTTAAGGCGTTTGACTGCTAATCAAATGGGGTTTCCCCGCGTGAGTTCGAATCTCATCCTGCTCGAAAGTTTTTTTTGCTTGTTCCAAAGGTTGCAGCTTTTATCCTATTCCCTTTAGACATTCAAATGTATTGCTTTGGTGACGTTTAACTGGCTATACTGGAGCAAAACATTCAAAAAAATAGAGAAAAAAGTGCCGGAAGGGATTTCGGAATCTCGCTTTTCTTTACGATTTTCGGTTTCAAGCCATTTCTTTCTTTATGTGCTGAATAAAGCTTAATCAAAAGGTTTCGAAACTTTAAAACTGTTCAACAAAAATTACTCATTGTTAAAAGAGTTTATTCAGAACATTATACAAAGCATGAAAAGGCAATAGTTATCAAGAACATGCGTAAAACCAATGCCAACTCTTTAGCAGCAAACCCAAACATAGTTATCGGAGCAACACCAGGAATCAGTGTATCCTTTACTGTAGACACAATTGCCCCATCCACACGAGCAAGCCATATTACAAAGACCGGGACGGGCATTACGGGGTTGTTGGTGGATTGTTGAAAGGAATTGGTGAATAGATGGATCGTCGGAGATTGAGGTGAGATTTTGAGAGAAGGAGAAGACGGTGAATGAGATGAGAATGATGAGAAGTGAATGAGTGAGAGAAGGCATTTTGGGGAGTGGAAGGAGTAGGAGAAGAAGAAGAAGAGGATTGGATTGATAAGTTGATCGAGTTTGTGGGAACTTTTATAGTAGAAAGTTGTCATTTATTTACCCAATGATTGAGATAAGGCTTGCTTCGATCAAAGACTTCAAAAAGCGGGGGCGAGTTTTGAAATTAGCCGTTCCATGCTTTGTTTTTGATAAGAGGCAAGTTTGTTGAGAAAAGACTAAAGAAATGAATTAGTTTAATGACTGAATGATGTCATTGCGGTTGAAAAAACATAGTATTACTGTAAACTTTCAAGTCAGTCTAAATAAAACAATAAAAAACCGAATTTTACTTTAGACTTGTAGATTTAGAGATCATCTCTGAACTCAATGAACTTTGAATCTTGGTTTTCTTGCACATTCTTGGCACTGAATAAGCCTATATAATACTTATTTTTAGAAAAAGTACAGTAATCCAGGTTTTTGTCTATATGAGTACTAAAGGAACTAAAGGTGTGTTTTAGAATTTCAAAATTCTTGTATCGGGTCGATTCTTGTATTCAAAGTCGATTGTATTCGGAATCAATTCTTACCCGAATTTTGAACAAACCCATGCACCCGTAAGGCACCAAAACAAACGGTAAACGGGAACAAACTTATGCACCACTCATCCAAAAGTCAAGAGCAAATCGATTCATTTACCCGACTCGATATTGTCGGGAAATTTCCGAGGATCCTTGAAAGTTGAAGATCTTCCAATTTGATAATTTGATAATTTTTAATGGTTTAAAAGTAAGAAAAAGTGTTTAGCAGCTTTATTACTTCTCATTGGGTATAGATTCATTCAAATTTTACAGTAATACTATGTTTTTTCAACCGCAATGACATCATTCAGTCATTGAACTAATTCATTTCTTTAGTCTTTTCTCAACAAACTTGCCTCTTATCAAAAACAAAGCATGGAACGGCTAATTTCAAAACTCGCCCCCGCTTTTTGAAGTCTTTGATCGAAGCAAGCCTTATCTCAATCATTGGGTAAATAAATGACAACTTTCTACTATAAAAGTTCCCACAAACTCGATCAACTTATCAATCCAATCCTCTTCTTCTTCTTCTCCTACTCCTTCCACTCCCCAAAATGCCTTCTCTCACTCATTCACTTCTCATCATTCTCATCTCATTCACCGTCTTCTCCTTCTCCCAAAATCTCACCTCAATCTCCGACGATCCATCTATTCACCAATTCCTTTCAACAATCCACCAACAACCCCGTAATGCCCGTCCCGGTCTTTGTAATATGGCTTGCTCGTGTGGATGGGGCAATTGTGTCTACAGTAAAGGATACACTGCTTCCTGGTGTTGCTCCGATAACTATGTTTGGGTTTGCTGTTAGGTTTACATTCAATGCAATCATGTGTTTTTGATAACTATTGCCTTTTCATTTTTTTATACTGTATCTGAATAAAATCTCTCAACAATGAACGCTTTCTGATAATGCCTTTCCCGGCCTTTATACAAAAGAACAAAAACAAAAACAAGACAAGCCTGTCCCAGGCTTGTTCCAGGCTCAAAGCCTGCAAGGCTCAAGCAGAACTCAGGTTCAGCCAGCTAGGAATGTCCAAAGGTCTACAGCTCATCAACGGACTCAGAGCTTATGAAGAAATGGCCGTGAAGAAATGGATGAATCAAAAACGGTTTTATTTTAAGCATTTCTCGTTACACAAAGCTTCGTAAAGTTTTTCATCTTGTGCAAGATTCTGTAGGACTTATGAGTGAAATTTTTGAGCTCTCTTTTTCAAAACTTGAGTAACTAAACCGGTTTATAGAGTAAGTTTTAAGTTTTTCTTTTTAGAAAACTGAGATTAGATTCTGTTTGAAGAGAAAAAGTGTATATTCTAGTAAATTTTTAAGATTTTTGATTAAATTGTTCACAGGATTTAGCTTGATTCAGTGTAGTTTTAGATTTAAATTTAAATGCTTATATTAGGTTGTTCGGATATAAACAATCGTTGCTAAACTTATTGTTATGAGAAAAGCTTTCGGCCCAGGCACAGAGCTTGCAAGCCAGATCAGGTGGTAATTGGTACAGTAATCTGTTAAAGGCTTTTAAAGGGTACAGTAATCTGTTAAAGGCTTTTAAAGGGTACAGTAATCTGTTAAAGGGTACAGTAATCTGTTAAAGGCTTTTAAAGGGTACAGTAATCTGTTAAAGGCTGTTAAAGGGTACAGTAATCTGTTAAAGGCTGTTAAAGGGTACAGTAATCTGTTAAAGGCTGTTAAAGGGTACAGTAATCTGTTAAAGGCTTTTAAAGGGTACAGTAATCTGTTAAAGGGTACAGTAATCTGTTAAAGGCTGTTAAAGGGTACAGTAATCTGTTAAAGGCTGTTAAAGGGTACAGTAATCTGTTAAAGGCTGTTAAAGGGTACAGTAATCTGTTAAAGGCTGTTAAAGGGTACAGTAATCTGTTAAAGGCTTTTAAAGGGTACAGTAATCTGTTAAAGGCTAGGATAGGTTCTTTTTGTAGCTCAAGTCTAACTGCTTAAAGTTTTTCGTCTTGTGCAAGATTCTGTAGGATTTATGAGTGAAATTTTTGAGCTCTCTTTGTCAAAACTTGAGTAACTAAACCGGTTTAAAGAGTAAGTTTTAAGTTTTTCTTTTTAGAAAATTGAGATTAGATTCTGTTTGAAGAGAAAAAGTGTGTATTCTGGTAAATTTTTAAGATTTTTGATTAAATTGTTCACAGGATTTAGCTTGATTCAGTGTAGTTTTAGATTTAAATTTAAATGCTTATATTTCTTTATTTTATCAATCAATTAATCAATCATAAAGAAAAACCTTTTGAAGAAAAGAAAACAAGATTAGAATCGAAAGATGTTGACTGTAAGATTGCGCAGTTTCTACTATAATCGCTCCACCATTGCAGAGATTTCTCGAACAGCAATCGACGTCTGAACCGTTGAACTCGTTCCTTCCTTCTTTCTAAAAATTCTCAGTGAAACAGAAAGTGTTAGTTGACGTTTTTCAGCACAAAGTAAAGCCCAAAAGCTAGCTTAAACATTTGCTTTTGACTCACCAGGCAAATATGCAACGTTGTTCCATTCTCATCAACCAAACAGCCACAATCCCGGAGGTAGACTTTCTAAAATGATGTGTACTTATTTTGATCAGCTAGTTTCTGGCTTATCTTAGATCAGCTAGCTTATCTAGCTTATCTTAGATCAGCTACCTTATCTAGCTTATCTTAGATCAGCTAGTTTCTGGCTTATCTTAGATCAGCTAGCTTATCTAGCTTATCTTAGATCAGCTAGCTTCTGGCTTATCTTAGATCAGCTAGTTTCTGGCTTATCTTAGATCAGCTAGCTTCTAGCTTATCTTAGATCAGCTAGCTTCTGGCTTATCTTAGATCAGCTAGTTTCTGGCTTATCTTAGATCAGCTAGCTTATCTAGCTTATCTTAGATCAGCTAGCTTATCTAGCTTATCTTAGATCAGCTTATCTATCGACTTATCAACAAAGCAAAATGCTAAATGTAGAAACTAGTTTTATGATTTTAAAAACTGAAAAGAGAAAGGAAAAATATCAAATTTGAGAGGAGTTATGATGTTTTTTATTAAGAAAATCTCTTAGAAAAGAATTTTCAATGCCATATCTTGCAAAAATGGAAAGATTCTCATGGCAGATTGCAAATTCGAGATTCTCATGGCAGATTTTATAAGATGAATGACTTTCCGTTGTCAAAGCGACTATCCAAATGAATCCAACTCACTTCAAACTTGTAATACATAGAAGAACAATAACTGCCGCAAACACAATGCACTTGTTCAGTCTAAAATAAAAGTCTCTCAGTGAAATACTCCTTTTCTTTACCGAATTTCTCTCTGGCTTCTCTTCCACATCAAAATAACATTCAAGAGGTGATGAATATTGAATAAATAAAGCTAATAGCATTAGCGAAATAGTGAACTTCATCTGAAATCATGGAAAATGCGAAAAAATATGCAACTTTATAAGAAATTTTTCGTTTTCTGCATTTGCATTAAACTAGAATATGCAAATTTCATCATCAGCTTCTTTGGGAAAACGTAAAAGTATCAAAAAGTTTGAGTTTTAGCAAAAAATTCAATGATCAATGAAAAATTTCTCTTGGCAACTCGACTGATTAGCCTTTAATCCGTTCTAACTCCGAAATTTCTTCGCCTGATAAACCCTTGCAGGCCAAGAAAAGCCAAAAACGGCCATTCTCATAGAAGCAGCTAAAAATTAGATACGGTTACTATTGTATTTCTAACAAAATCATCAAAACTTTCGTGCCGTTTTGAAACTTCAGTGACGAAGCACTGAACCTCAATAATAATAACCAAACCAAACAAAGACCAAATTCAGTGACGGCTTACAAGAGAACTCCTTTAGGTCGATCGATCGGATTGATCTGAGACCAAATGGATCCGATAGAATCGGCCATGCTGATCACGAATATGTACATAACTTTTGCTCTCGCAAGAGAACGCAAGATATTTTAAGTTTTAGCACTTACACTACTGGACAATGAAATATCATATTTGAAAAAACACTTTCGCACTTTCGCGCGTCTGTAACTCCCTTGTCTTTACCGTATTTCTAAATATTAATATTACCATTGTGTAGCCCTTGAAAAGAGCTTTCAGAAAATGTATAACACTAAAAGTTTAAACTCAAAGACAAGGGAGTTACAGACGCGCGAAAGTGACGATCATTTTTCAAATATGATATTTCATTGTTCAGTACTGTACCTTATAAAGTCCCTCACGCCTTGAAGGATCGTGCGGTTGTGGTCTAGTGGATAAACGTCTTGTGTCAGGCGCCACCTTGTGTCAGGCGCCACCTTGTGTCAGGCGCCACCTTGTGTCAGGCGCCACCTTGTGTCAGGCGCCACCTTGTGTCAGGCGCCACCTTGTGTCAGGCGCCACCTTGTGTCAGGCGCCACCTTGTGTCAGGCGCCACCTTGTGTCAGGCGCCACCTTGTGTCAGGCGCCACCTTGTGTCAGGCGCCACCTTGTGTCAGGCGCCACCTTGTGTCAGGCGCCACCTTCTCACCGAATAGGTTCAGGGAAAGAGCTAATGAAGGCAAGAAAAAGCCATCAATATCAGAAAAATCCTGTTCATTGTCTTCAAAATCACATTCTTCATCAGTGACTATTTTGATTTTGTCATTAGTTTCAGAAAAAAGATTTTACAACTTTGAAAACAGCTTGAAAACGTTACCAAATTCAGTGACGGCTAACAAAGGAAGTCTTTCAGCTCGGCAAGAGGTGATTTCTGATTTCTGATTCAAAGATCTCATTTTCATCAATCGAATTCGATGTTATAAAGTCTTTTTTCTCGATTTTTTTGCTTTGTTATTATTTGTTATTAAGTTATCATGATAAAATGACACTTTAATGGGTAATTTCATTTTTTGCCCATTAAAGTGTCACCTTTTAGTATTTATTTGTTAAATTTATTATTTGAAATGATAAAAATGAATTGCGTAAAAATGAATTTGAACTTAAAATAGAGTTTATTCACATTTGGCCAACCTTTTAGAGCTTTTCTAGATTTTATATTTTCTTTTGATTTTTTTGGTGCTTTTATATGTGTCATAAAAGTTTCATGGCAAGTTAAACAATGTCGGAAAAGGAGGAAGTTATCTCGAAGCCCAAGTATCTTCTGGCAGAATTCGAACAGCTGGAATTGCTTCTTCGACATTGTCACGTTTGTGATCGGGCACATGGTGGCACTGCCGGAAAAGGGAGAAACATTCAGTGGACGGAAAATCGCACAAATTTTCCCGCCACTACAAGATGCTCATACAAAAAGATGCTCGTGAAAACCGAGAATTGACTACCCCCAAAACGCAAAGTTTAATTTCAGGTTAAACAATGTCAGATGAGGAGGAAGTTATCTCGAATTCGCCCAAATCTCTGGTAGAATTCGAATAGCTGGAATTACTTCATTGTGACCTTTGTGGTAAAAGCAAAAGAATCTGGGACGGAGCCGAACCAGAGACCCTTGGACTACCTTGTAGAAAAACTGAAAAAGAGTGAAAAATTCAGTGAACGAAAAACGTCACAAATTTTACCGCCACAACAAGATGCTCGTGAGAAAAGTATGGTCACATTTGTTGGTCATCTTAAAAATTTATTGTGGTCACTGGGATGTCTAGATGTCTAGATGGCTAGATGTCTAGTCTATTCTAGATGTCTAGTCTATTCTAGATGTCTAGTCTATTCTAGATGTCTAGTCTAGTCTAGATGTCTAAATGTCTAGTCTAGATGGCTAGATGTCTAGTCTAGATGGCTAGATGTCTAGTCTAGATGTCTAGATGTCTAGTCTAGATGTCTAGATGTCTAGATGTCTAGATGTCTAGATGTCTAGATGTCTAGATGTCTAGATGCCTAGATGTCTAGTCTAGTCTAGATGACAAAGATGACTTGCAATGGAAATCTAGCTGTCACATTATAAATTTTGATTCTTTATCTTAACGAAAAACTGTTGGAAAAGGAAGAAACATGGACGAAAATCGGCATGAATTTTACCATCAAATGGATGAAAGATGGAAGAGAAATAGTGAAAGAAAAATCCACGAGTAGATGATGAAACTCTAGATGATGAAGAAGCAATGAGTGTGAAATTTGGAAAGATTTGAGTGATTGATTCAGATGATGAGTAATTTTTGGTTATATTAAGAGTTTAAATTATTCCTTTATACTTATTTTATCGTTTTTCTGTTCGTCGGAGAGCTATTCGCACTCGTAATTTTCCATAGAATCAAGATTTCTCAAAACTGATTCAGTTCAGAATTAGCACCAAATCAAAGCGTCAAATTAAGCACTAATGATATTCTATTGTAAACATTTTCCAAAGATGTAGTCAATTTTTCATGAAATAGTGAAGAAAGAGAACGCAATCACGTGTCAAAGTGCTTTGTTTATTTACTTTTTCCCCTCTTTTACGAGCCACTTTCAATAGGTTAAAAGTGGCTTCTTTTCTGCACAAATAACTCTGATTCATTCATTTTTCTTCAGCTTTTATTCATCGATCTAATTTTTTAATTGTAAAAAATGGTAAATTTTTCATGTATTTGCTAAGATTTTGATCTAATTCCTTTTAATTTAATAATAATCTAAGATTTTGAAATGCATTTAGTTAAAATGGCTTGAAACTAGCTTGAAACTGGTTAACTTACCGTAAAAACTATCATCTCCATCGTCGACCATTAGCTTGTAAATGAAGTTTTGATCCTTTCTTAAATTCCTAATTAAATTCCTAATATCTCAGCATAGAATCAGTATATTTAAATTTCTAGCATTTAGCAACTAAAAGCTTCAGGAAATTCTTATTTTGTGATGTTCTTTCCCACCTGTGATTTTGGAGTCGATCTGAGTTGGTTATAGCTATAGTTTAGTTATATTAGGTTGGCAACTTAATAATGACAACTTAATAAATAATACCAAAACAGTGATGATCGTGCGATGAGATTCAGCTGGAGATTTTCCTTGTTTAAAATCGTAGAACAATACAGCTCGAATACGGAATTTTTTGTCCTCCATTTTTTGCCAAAAAGCGAATGATGAAATTTGCAGCACTAAATGCTATTTATGCAGACATCTTTTACTTTGTATATATGCAAAAAACGGGAAGAAACGGTGCTTGAAATTACAAAAAACATGTTAAGTAGTGACGCGTCATTATTAAGTTGCCAACCTAATAGTTCCCTCGTTAGAGGTAAAAAATTGCCCTCGCGCATTCTTTTTGCTATAACTTTGTCGCTAATCGCCGAATAACTCTATAATTTTAGCATTAAGCATGTAAGCTTTTGAGAATAATACATTTAAAATTTCATTTAAATATATTGATTAGGAGCTGAGATATTAGGAATTTAATTAGGAATTTAAGAAAGGATCAAAACTTCGTTTACAAGCTAATAGTCGATGGCTAGTAATAGATTTTTAAACTCAAAAATGAATAATAAAACTTAACAAATCCAAATCGATACTCAGGGGAATCGACATGGACACCATAGACAGCATTGCGATGGCGGTGGCTGGGGAATGGGACATCAACAGCACGCCTATCCGATGGCTACCAATCATGGGATGAACATTGGACATTTTCCTCATCAAAATGCAGGTTTGCCGCTAATCTGTCGAGTTGTTTTGAAAGATTAAGAGCCGTTGATTTCAGGATACGGCTTTGAACCACATCATCATGAGCATCATGGTGGCTTCGGTGGCTTCGGGCATCACTCGGGACATCATTCTGGACATCATTCTGGACATCACGGAGGATTTGGGGGATCTCATGGCCACCATGGACATCATTGAAACAAAATAAAACAATTTCTACTTGAAAAATATGCATATTTATTGAAGAGTATTGTTTTTAAATGTCATAAATTAGCAAAAAATAGTAAAATTTCATTTTTTTATGAAAATTTTGACATTCATCGAATGATTTGACAAAAATTTGAGCCATTAAGCTTTTCAAAAATTTTTTTGACAAAACAAAAGCTAAAAAAGCAGTTCTTGATAATCTTTTATCAGATTTACAATCACAAACTTTCTTTTTAGCTAAAAGATTAAACTAAGAAAAGAAATAAAATCAATATTGAGTGGGTGGGACAAAAGCTGGGTCTGAGACAAGAATAAAAAGAAAAATTTTTTTCTGGGATTTTTTTGGGGGTGGGACAAATGCGACCTTTTTTTTGCGCACCTGGACATTTGCGCACCTTTTTTGCTGGAAAAGGCCTTAGGCAAGGCCGTAGAGCTTCGAAAATGTTTCCATATAAGGGAATCGCATGCGTAGATTTCGAATTTCGACAAATCAGACCTCGCTGACACGTCAAATTTGGGCTAAAAGGCAAAAACTGCGGAAAAGCGTTAAGTTGCGTAGTTTTTGCCTTTTAGCCCAAATTTGACGTGTCAGCGTGGTCTGATTTGTCGAAATTCGGAATCTACGCATACGATTCCCTTATATGGAAACATTTTCGAAGCTCTACGGCCTTGCCTAAGGCCTTTTCCAGCAAAAAAAGGTCGCATTTGTCCCACCCCCGGGTCTGAGACAAGAATAAAAACAAAAATTTTTTCTGGATTTCTTTTTGATATTTTTGGAGGTATTTGTGTTCATTTTCTCGTTCTTAATAGATTGAAATTTAAGAAATAACAAAACTATAAAGCTTTAAACTATAAAGATTGAAATCAATGTACTACCGTCGACTCTCTCTATAACGGAATGGAAGGGACCAAAAAAATTTCCCGTTATCTAGAGCTTTCCGTTATATAGAGTGCTGTTATATATAACTTAGCGTCGGCCAGGACCAAAATTCTATTTCATTATCTAGAGTTTTCCGCTATATAAAGTTCCGTTGTAAAGAAAGTCGACTGTAGTTTGAAGAAATTTCGCTCGATATAAAATGTTCTATTTTTTAATCTGTAAATCTTATTTGATTTTCTTTTGTATATTTGTACTCTTGGATATTTACTTTATTTTTACGCTTTTTCTACGTCAAAGCCTTTACTTTTTAATTGATATTTGCTTTAGATCATGGTGGATCAAATGTATGTTGTGCGCGATTTCAAGATGGGCAAAAACGCTGCCGAATCACATTCTTTACGATTTCAAGATGGGCAAAAACGCTGCTGAACTACATTCTTTACGATTGCAAGATGGCAAAAACGCGGCCGAATCACATTCTCTACGATTTCAAGATGGGAAAAACGCTGCCCAACATTCCCTACGATTTCAAGATGGGAAAAACGCTGTTGAACCACATCGTGATCTCTCTTCCGCTTGTGGAAAACAAGTTATGACCGAAAGATCCTGCCAGCTCTGGTTGGCCCGATTTCGAGAAGGTATTGAATCTCTTGAAGACGAACTACATGGGCATCGCTCGGCAGCAATCGATAATAATGAATTGGAGCAACTTATTGAAGCCGATTCAATGTAAACTACCTTCTCCTGTTTGCCAAACATCTCCAATGTGATCAATCAACAATTGCCCGCCATTTGGAAATAATCGGAAAGACCAATCGTAATGGACGAGGGGTTTCATATGAGTTGAGCACCGAGAATCTGGGAGCATTCAATCAGCCATATCTTGCTTCTCAAGTCGAAAAGAAGCCATTTTTTTGAGAATATCTAGACAATGGACGAAAAGTAGATTCCCTTTGATAACACTTCTCGAAAAAGACTGACCCAGCAAGGGTCAAATGCCAATTCCAACTCCAAAGCCGGATTATCATAGGCAAAAAGTCATGTATGTTGTCTTGTTGGTGGAATATCAACGGGCTTGTTTATTTCGAATTGTTAGAACCAGTTTATTCATCTTGTTTTATTCAAGAGCTTAAGAAAGTTGACGAAATTTTGCGTCAAAAGCAATCTAAAGCAACGTTAGGATGTTATAGATAACGATGGTGCTTATTTTTTTGAAATAAATTGGTACCTAAAGGAATTTTTAAAAAACCGAAATTTCTTTTGCATCAACCTAGAGTTTATTTGTGAAATTCAATGAAATTTTCATCAAAAAATGGATTTTTTTCGTTCTAACGACAGGCGAGACGACAAAATTCAAGCAAAAGCAAAACAAAAAGCAACATTGAGCAAAAGCTCGTGCTTGTCATCACTGGAAGAATTGGTGTTATTGAGTTTGATTTGAGTGCATCAATGTCCCACAACCATCACTCCTACTCCGGCAGTCGCACTCCGAATTCGTTGAGGTTGAGGTTCAGCTCCTTAGCACTTCATTGAAGCCTTGATTTCATTGAGCTTCAATGAAGTGCTAAGGAGCTGAACCTCAACCTCAACTTGGATCTGTGTCGGAGAAACGGCAAACTTTCAACTCGTCCTTTCATTTAGAACTTTCCCAGGCAGATCTTCCCAGTTGTAGTTACCGTTTGTGCATCGGTGTTGAATCACGACGTTTTCTCGAGTTAGTTCCTTGAATCAATCCACCTCTCACGTTTCATTGAACAAGCCCAAAGTTACAGCACTTTGGAGAATCTCTGCCTGAAGTTGTCCATCGAAATCCTTTAGCTCTTTTAATATTTGTTTTTTCTTTCTCTTTTTTCAATCACATTTTTCAATTAAAACGGGAGTGGGACAAATGCGACCTTTTTTTGCGCACCCGGACATTTGCGCACCTTTTTTTCCGCACTTGGCCCATTAGCGCACCTTTTTTCGCGTTTTAAAGAAGCTCTAAAAGCTAATATTAACCAATTTCTATTCCAAAAGTTGTTTTTCTAGGTAATTTTAGGGCGTAGAATCGAAATTTTGGCATATCAGAGCTTGTGGAAGCGAACGGACGGAGTTATAGGAGAAAAATCTAATATTAACCAATTTCTATTCCAAGAGTTGTTTTTCTAGGTAATTTGAGGGTGTCGAATTCAAATTTTGATATAACAGAGCGTGTGGAAGCAATTTGAAAGACAAAACGGCTGGATCAAATTACAGAAATTTCGATTGTCGATTTTTCTCTTTGTATAACTCCGTCCGTTCGCTTCCACAAGCTCTGATATGCAAAAATTTCGATTCTACGCCCTAAAATTCCCTAGAAAAACAACTTTTGGAATAGAAATTGGTTAATATTAGCTTTTTAGAGCTTTTTTAGCTTTTTTAGCTTTTTAAGCTCTTTTAAAACGCGAAAAAAGGTGCGCTAATGGGCCAAGTGCGGAAAAAAAGGTGCGCAAATGTCCGGGTGCGCAAAAAAAAGATCGCATTTGTTCCACTCCCATTAAAACAAAAAAAAGGCACAAATCTTTGCAAAACTTTTCGAAAAGATTTTGAGCTAAAAATTGAGCTAAATGTAAACAAAAGTAAAGAAAAATTTCGAAAATAGACTTTTCTAGATTTGTGTTTTCTTTTTCTTCTTATTTTTCTAATAAATTTACGTATTTTGTTTGTTTTTTTTTTTGGTTAAAGAATGTGCAAATAAAAATAGTCACGTCTGCAATCAAAAACAGTTCTATTTTTATGTAAAGCCGTCTCTTTTTCAACCCTTTTCCATCTCTTTTTCAACTCTTTTTCCTCAAAATTTGTACAACTGTTGTGTCAAACAAAAACATGTTGTTTAAGCTAAACAAGTAGCTAAATAAGTAGCAGTATATATTGTAAAAGAAACAATTTTGAAATCAATTCGAATTTCAAATGTTTCATTCACTTATTCTTTCTATTATTGCTATTGTGAGTTAGAAGTTTTTCGAAATTAAATTCCAAAATTTTAGCTCGGCTTTTGTGGAGCTCAATTTCCATCAATTCAAAATCAAGTAACATAAAAAAAAGATAAAACAAAAACCGAGATAATGACAAGCTTTAGAATGGAATGCAGCCTTGCACTGGCCTCCTTCAATGTGGACTTGGGCGGGTATTTTTCGTCTCTTTATTCCAAAAATTCTCTTTTTTCAGATCTGCTGTGTCCCATTTCAACTCCCAACTTTGACAATTCCAGCTCAAACACAACAGGTAGCTATTTGCAAATTTCAAAACTTTTAATCAAATTATCAATTCAGCAAATCGGCGTCTGCCAATCTCTTTACTGCCCAATCGGTCAAGTTCCTATTGTTGCTCTCTAATCTAAAATATCTTCTCTGCTTTCTGTACAAAGAAATCTATAAATTTTGTGTAACTTATGCATTCACATCAAAAAGCACAACAACAGCAGGACAGCTTTGAAAAACAAATGGCATTTTTTGTTCATTTTTCCTTTCTTATTCGGTAAGTTGTTTCCTTTCTTATTCCTTAAGCTGTTTCCTCTCTTATTCCTTAAGTTCTTTCCTTTCTTATTCCTTAATTTCTTTCCTTTCTTATTCCTTAAGTTCTTTCCTCTCTTATTCCTTAAATTCTTTCCTTTCTTATTCCTTAAGTTCTTTCCTCTCTTATTCCTTAATTTCTTTCCTTTCTTATTCCTTAAGTTCTTTCCTCTCTTATTCCTTAAATTCTTTCCTTTCTTATCCCTTAAGCTCTTTCCTTCCTTATTCCTTAAGTTGATTGCTTTTTAACGGCATCTTACAGTAGAAAACCAGCGTAAAACGCTACAAAATAACTGGAATCTCGCCATCTTTGGATCGATCTTGAATCACACGTTTGAGGCCTAGTAATGAAAAGATGAAGCTTTTTAAATCTCGAAACATACAGCCCACACTTGCTCAATATGCTTGTAAAGAGTTCCATCGATGAAGTCAACCAGAGTTTCATCAATCCATTTCCCAAGTATCGAATTCAAGCACTTTGCCAAAGTCAGCCGCTGTCATTCTTGACTACGTGTAGAGGAAATAAGCTCTATAAGTCTAATTTTTTTTATCAGGTATTACCGTAATAGTAGCACCGGTGCTACTATTAGAGGCAGTGATACTAAAATTTTTTAAACAAACCAATCTAGAAGTTTGCATAATAATTCACTAGAATGTTTTCAACTTTGAATTTTATTTATTCATCTTTAAGAAACAATAAAATAACAGTAAAATCAAACATACTCGTTGAAGAATCGAGCTAAAAAGCCGTATCATCACATGCAAATATGTGCTTGAAAGTGCTCTCTTCGATTTTCTTGTTCACTTTTAGGGAATGGTTGAATTTTCTCAAATTCGCTAGGAACCTTTTGACATGTTGTGGTCGCCGCTCTCAATGAGAATTGGTGCCGCTTTAGAAACGATTCCATCAAACCGTCTTTTGAAGAGAATTTCTGCATCAGCAAATCGATTAGCCGCTTTGTTCCAGATAATTCGACGGGTTACAATTTTTTGTTTATTTTTCCTTCCTTATCCCTTAAGCTGTTCCCTTCCTTATCCCTTAAGTTGTTTCCTTATTGGGAATCTCTTAAGCTTTTGATATGTTGTGGTCGCCGCTCTCAATGAGAATTGGTGCCTCAATGAGAATGAGAATTGGTGCCTCAATGAGAATGAGAATTGGTGCCGCTTTAGAAACGATTCCATCAAACCGTCTTTTGAAGAGAATTTCTGCATCAGCAAATCGATTAGCCGCTTTGTTCCAGATCATTCGACGGGTCACTTGCTTTTTCGCTCCTTTTTCAAGAATCGATATTGCCAAAGCTTCGTCAATCTCAATGTAATACCTGAAGTTTCAGTATTTTGATTTCAGTTTTATTGTTTATTATTTTATTGTTATTGTTTTGATTCCAGTTTTATTTGATTCCTGTTTATGGTGTAACCAATTTGTTTGATTGAATCCAGGGTGCCCCAATCCAACCGTCGTTTACCGCGCTTTGCTTTTATGCGCTTTTGGGTTGACTATCTTTGCTAATTTTTGTTTATTATGCAAATTTTGACTTTCAAAAATGTAGTTTACTTATTAAAGTTAATTTTTTCAGGTATGATGAGCAAATCTATTTATCGAGATTCGATTATCAAGCTTTTTCGAAGGGAGTTGGCCAATTGAGATTTCTCGCAGGCTGATGATGGTAAAATCAGCCGTTTCCAAGACAATTCGTCGATATAATGATCTTGGAACAACTTCTGATCGACCGAAAAGCTAAATAGCTAGATAGCCGAAAAGATGGATAGCTGAAAAGCTGATAACAAAGAAGAATATCAGAAAGATTCACGAAAATTTCTGATACAACCTGCAATCTCAACGATAAATGGTCAAGAAAATGAAGATTCCCAAAGAATTAGTAAGTCGAATCGTGAAAGAACATTTGGATATGAAAGCCTATAAGTTTGCGAAAGGTCAATTTCTCACAATGCCAAAAAGAAGCGCAAAAGCCGGTCAAAACGTGATGCTATGAGTCAATGGCATCACTGAAACATCGTTTTTAATGACGAGACGGTATTTACCATCGAGCAGAGTTTGAACACTTAGAGCAACAGGATTAATGCAAAAAGCCAACCAAACCAGCCAACCAAACCAGTTTGCTGGATATTCCAAATCTCTCATGCGAAATCTGTCTTCGATGGGAAAACTCCACTAGTTTTTGTTCAACAAAACGTCAAACTAAACGCAAATAATTATCTGGATATTTTATTATCAAAGTTTTACTTTATATTTAAAAAATTATTTTTAAAAAAACATTTTAAAAGCCAAATAAAACAGTATAAAGGAAACTTTTCGGGTTTGATTTCAAAAAAATAATCTAAAGGGAAATGGAAGAAATTGGCGCAAAAAGGGGCGGAAACCATGAAATGACGAATCACCAAATAATTTGATTTCTTTTATCTTGCTCTTCAGGTCGAACCATTGACTTAATGGCTCCTCTTTGCGATCAACAAGTCGAGCTTTCAGTTTTGGGGTTATTTGAATAAAAGCCTCGGATTTCAGATTTTCTCTAACTTTGTCGACATCTACAAACACCAATTTAAGGTCAAAAGTCATAGCTGGCAACTGCTCCCATGATTCATAGTTGTCTGGCCGATCGAGCAAAATTAAAATCGATCGAGCAAAATCCTTTTTTTCTGGGCTTGCCATATCGCTTATGTTCGGCTGATCATTTCTCAACATTTCGCTGTTCGGCTGGTTATTTCTCAACGTTTCGTCGTTGTTCGGCTGATCATTTCTCAACGTTTCGCTTTTCTTCGGCTGATCATTTGTAGAGAGGCAAAGCAGAAATGTCAAATGAGCTTTGTCATCTGGAAACACTTCAGAGATCGAAAAAAGCTCGTTCGATCCGGGAAAACTTCGCCACGGAATCGCCCTCTCACCCATTCTATTGGCGTCTTCCAAAACATCAAGAATCGATAGATACAAAAATAGAATCAATCTTTCTTCTTTTGATGCACAGCTGTAAATGGGAATTTGCATCTCTCTGGGAAACAAAACTTCGAAAGAACTTTTACATTCACTCAATGGATCGTATCCTTTTAGCTCACACTTTGGCAGATGTTTACATGCTGGTCGTGGGGGGTTTCTCAACTGAAAAACATGTCTATATTGTCCGCTTGTCTCATCCGCCACAAATCCTCTAATGGTTACTACTTCTCTTTGTTTCAACATAGCTAAATACTTTTTAAAGCCCTCAATCACTTTACACAAATCTATGGGCTCTTCGTGAGAGAAATGGTAAACATCGTAGCGTTTCTCGTCAGATTCGTTGTTGGCCTTCTTTCGCAGCATTTGACGACCGTCTTTCCCTGTACACTTTTCGAAACGGATGGCTTTCGTGAAATCACGACTAAAGTAGTAGGGACGGGGTGAATCATCGTTTTTGAGAATCAACCACTCTTCGCCCGTTGACAAGGAAACATAACAATTGCAAATTAATCTCACCGTGTACTCGGATTCTTTCATTTTCTCTAAAGCCTTTAACGCCCAGGTAAGCCTTCGGTACTTGTAAAATGAAGAAAATGCTTCACATTTGATTTCCTTTCCAAGCACAGAAAAACCCCATTGAATCCGGGTTGTTTGCCAATAAATATTGTGAAAAATCAAGTGTTGAAGGAGTTCTTCTAAACTCGTTTCTGGCGTCAGTTTGTAGAACTCCTCATACTGGCCTGGGCTGCCAAGTTTTTGTAAGAGTGCTTTATAATTTTCCGTTATTTCCATTTGTCCAACGATTCTTGGAATTGTTGCAATGAGCTGCCTTTGTTCACGCTCAGAAAGAACCGCAAATTTTTCATTTACCAAACAAAGAAGTTTAGCTGAATAGCCACCTTTCTGAGTTCCGATAAAAGTTGAAAGATCATATTTCGTTTCGCTTAAAGTCGTTTCTTCCTTTAAACTCTTTTCAATTGAGCCTAATGAATCTCCATCCGGAACTTTCCATAAAGAAGAACAATTAGTATTAAAAGCAGAGCTTTCAACATCAACATGAATCCAATCTTTTGTACTATCGAATCCGAGGGGTTTCACAAGAGTCTTTTGGTTTTGTTCAATTGTTGGCCATAGTTGAAGAGTCGATAAAAATGAGGAATCCTAAAGAAAAGCTCAATAAAACTTTGTAGATTTTACTGTTAAAATGATTTCAAGTGAAGACAAAGCATCAGATGCAGTTGGTCTGAGGGAATGAACAAAGTTGGTGCATCTGTAAGTTTTACTTTTTAAAAACTATCGAAAAATCAAAAACCGCTTTAACAGATCTTGCAAAGAAGATTGACAAATTGGTGAAGCCAATTCTTTCAATTTTCTGGTAACAATATCATGGACCAGTGAATCTCGATCAAATCCCGAATCTCCGTTGTATTCGTGAAAGACCAACCTGAAAGAACTCTAACGAAAGAAATATAAAACTCTAACATAAAGATTAGACTGTACAGTTGTGAATGCACGCCTGCACTTGAACAGTATACCTTTAAGCTATACACTCAAAACCAATTCTCTATATGCTGTTCAGGATTTCTGGGGCAGGCTAATTTCCGCAATTTTTTTACAGGGTCAACATGGTCATTTGCGCAACTGGGTCGTTTCACAGAAAGTGTCGCAACTCGCCATAACTTTCTTCGAAGCCGGCCCATCTTTATGATTTTGGTGTCATTTTCATGATTTTGGTTTCATTTTGTTGCACTTATTGAGATCTACAAAATGAAACCAAAATCATAAAGATTGGTCCACTTAGAAGAAAGTTATGGCAAGTCGCGCAACCGACCCAGTTGCGCTAATGACCCTATTGCGCAAAAAATTGTGGAAATTAGCCTACCCCGGATTTCTTATTTCTCTACAACTCTTCGTGTTTTTGACCTCAAACCAATTCATTTTTGATTTAATTTCTGTTAGATGACCGACACAAAGCCTTTGGCTCTTCACACGCTCTCCACATAAAGCTTTGGTATGACTTCACATTGGGCAAAAACATCGCTGAATCTCATCGAGACCTCTGCAAAATATTTGGAGAAAATCCTATTTCGAAAAGCTAGTGTCGCCGATGGTTTCAACGATTTCGAGAAGGAGATCTTTGGAAGATCCAAAATCCAAAAGAGCCACCAATCTTCTGCGATTGATAATGCAGTACTGAAGCAGACGATCGAAATTGATCCTCGACAAACTACACATGAACTTGCAGCAATATTTGGAGTAAACCTTCAAACAATTTTCGAGCATTTACATCAATTAGGGAAAACCCAGAGAAATGGGTTCCTCATCTTCTCAGCGATGCCAATAAAGCTACTCGCGCCGCTATGGCGGGTATTCTTCTTCGTTTAGCAAAAAAATCCTGGGTTTTACGATAAAATCCTTACTTGCGATGAGAAATAGATTAAGTATGATGGCAATGACAATATGGAGCTACACGAAAACGGCAATGGCTAGAACCTGGTGAAGAGCCAATACCAACACCAAAACCCGACTTTCACGGCAAGAAAGTAATGCTTACTGTCCGGTGGAATTCCCAGGACATTGTTTATTTTGAGCTGCTTAGGCCTGGAGATACAACACGGGTGAAACGTATGCAGAACAACTAGAACGAGCGAACAAGGAATTGCTACAAAAAGGTCTTGTTCCTTCAAACATAAAGTTCATTCAAGATAACGCTCGTTCACACGTTGCAAAGCTTTTTCCGGAAAAACCCGAAGAATTGGCTGGAAAAACTCGAAGAAAAGCTCTCCCGCATCCGCCATATTCTTCGGATTACCATTTATTTCGCTGGAAACAAGTTCAAAGATGTTCAAGAGGTCGAAAAATAGATAACCAGGTTATGTGGTACACCAAGCAGAGCATTATCAAAACCGGTAATGACCGCAATCGGCAATCACCAAAACAAGAAAGCGCCAGTTTTGGACCTATTGTAAGTCAAAGAGCGTCCAAGCAAGTTCATGAAACATTGCCAAGAAACTGTAGATACTAGACTTGGCTTCTTTGCCTCAAAACAATTCAATTTTTACGCCGAGGGAATTCATTCTTTGCATAGAAGATGGAAACAAATATTGTTAACAAATAGTGAATATATTCTTGATTGAGCTGTTAAAATGTTGGTTTTAAAATAAAGATTTCTTATCTGAGAAAAACTAGATTGAACAACCTAATAGACTCATTTCATTACCTCCTCTCAATTGTTTCCCAAAGAATCAGACCCAAACTGTAGACATCATTTCGGTGTGATGCCTGGAAAATTCATTATTATTATTATTATTATTATTATCTCTACTATATATATGTGCAGAAAAGTAGCTCTTTTCTGTGAAATCTTATTTGATGCTTTGATTTTGAATATCCCTGATTCTCTTGTCCTTCCTTTAAAGATCGTTTGTGTGATAAAAAGGGACGCAGCTCACTTTGTATTCTTACTCGTTTGGCTTTGACACACTGAACCAACGATTGATTCTATTTTATTGTATTTTCTCGCTAGATTAGTGATTGTGCTATATTCGGAATAAATATCTAAATAATCATTGCCCCATCGGTACCCTCTCTCGCACGGCACAATATAAAAAAATAATCTCTATCTGTCTGTGCGCGCACTACGCGCATCCCCTTTGAGTATTTAAAAAAACCCTGAAGCACGTGTCCAACGAAATTTCATGTAATTATGCTTTTAAAAAAAATTTTTGCAAAAAAGTCAAAGTAGGTGGTCACTGGCCGGGGTCGAACCCGGGTCATGTGAGGCGTGAGGTGAGCGCGCTATCCACTGCGCCATGGGTTCAATTTTCAATTTTTGCATGGCGGAGTTTTTCAACACAGGGAATTCGTTTCTGGCAATCATTTCTACGATTTCTGAATCAGGCGGGCTGTTTTGCTGGTAGTTCTTAGCAATTGCTGCCTTGGTAAGTCCTGTTTTATCATGTTTTTGATGCGTGTTTGCACTAAATCATTTTCATATCAAAAACAAGTTCAGAAGCAATAGCCGCATCAAAAAAAACCCGTAACTTTATCCAAATTTAGCCATTTTTTAAGGAAAAGTGTACGAAGTTTTAGTTTTATGTCCATTGATGTCCCCAATGAACAGCCAGCCGCCAGGCGGGCTGTTCTGCTGTTATTATTATTATTTTAACACTAAACACAAAAGCTAACCAGTGGATCGGTCATTTTCGTATTTTCCTTCGAAATGTCTGGTGGACTCATGTAACGCAGTGTTCCAGCAAAAGTCCCAGTAAGGGGTTGGCTCGAAATCTTCACTAGTCCGAAATCTCCAATTTTCATTCGAAAGTCCTCCGTAACGAAAACACTAAAGCTTTTTAGAATTGCTTCATAGAATCGCTTTTCAGGATCGCTTTTTAGAATCGCTTTTTAGAACATAAAAATTTAAAGTGAGAACTTTTCTGGCTTAATATCTCGATGAATGATTTTGTGCTTCTGAAACATGTAATTTGTCGCATCAAAAATTTCTTTCGCCCAAACGATTACCGTTTTCATTGTATAGATGATGGATGGCTCGAAAATTACTAAAACCTTATTCAAAAGAAAAATTTGTTTACACATAAACCTTTTTCTAATGAGCCTCGTTCACAAAATTCCATAATAATTCCAATGCGATTCTTTTCTTCTTCAATACAAAGATCCAAATAATTGACAATATTTGAATGGCTTAACTTCTTCAAAATGGACCATTCTTTTTGAAAAGAATCATTTGCTTCAAAGTGAAGATATTTGACGACAGCCGGGCTTAAATTGAATATATTAGAAGTTTGAAGAAGTTTCTATCTGTTTGTGTGTGTTATCACATGTGTTAGCCAGTTGAGTTTCGCATTTAGGCTTCTCAAAATGCAAAAGTTGAAGAAAAATGGGTGAAAATTGAGGGACCAGTGGGCGGAATACCTCTAGCAAGTGCATTTTCTAGAGTTTTCGGCCACGCTAAATCGCTGGTAATATTTTTAGAATTTGTTTGTGACTTATTTCTTTATGGTCGAGGCAGATCTAGCTGATTTTCGGTCATAGCCAGTTAGGGGGGGGGGCTATAGTTGGAGGGCATTTCACAAAACATTTCGCGATTTTTAACAATATTCAAGACTCCTATATTTAATTAGGCTCTGACCACGCACCTTAGAGGCACGTGGCTCTTAGGCTATCACCTGATTCTCCTACAGCTGAGGTGGGTTTCGTACGTGGCTCCTAGCTAGAGCGAAACTCACCTCAGCCGTAAGAGAATCAGGCAAAGGCCTAAGAACGACGTGCCTCTAAGATGCGGAGTATAAGCCTGGGTTAATAACACGCAAACAACGCGGGAGCGGCAAAGAGGGAGGTACGTAACACGTATATACCATTAACAACACTCGAGGCAGCACCAAGCAGACGCTCAGCCAGTTCTCTGAGTCATAGTCTAGTGTAAGCGTAGTGTAGCAAGAAGAAGCTTTGAAAATATTATCAATCGATTTAGCGTGGCCGAAAACCCTAGAAAAAGTGTTTTTGGCTTGCCAGAGGCATTTTTGAAGCCCCGCCCACTGCTCCCCAACCCTTATAGCCTCAAAAATTGAACTTTTTCATGTTTAAATTTTTAAATATCACTTTTGCAAAGTCTAATTAAATGTTGGACTTTGAGAGACGAAAGAGAGAATCGGCATTATGCTTAAATTGCGATGGAAAGCCTTGTTTAAAAATCAAATGATAATTTAGATGGTAATTTAAAGAATTTTCACTAAAAGCCAAAATTCAATCATTAAAGGATTTCCACTAAAAGCCAAAATCAAATCAAAATTCACTCACGGATTGTAACCAATCAATTGATAGACATCGCCAAAACCCCGCCGCCAACTTTCCGTTCTTCATATTTTGGCATGAGTTTTGAGAAATATCAGCTAAAAATCAATTTTTAAAGAAGACTCGTAAAAATAAATGATAAGAAATGACGGAAAAGTTCTAAATTTTTCAAAAAACTTGAAGTTTTGAAAAAAGCTCAAACCTAAAAACCCTAAAATACTTAAAAATTAATTTATCGTGATCTTCCTTGTAAACACATTTAAAGAAAGAGTTGATTAAAAGAATGACAAATTTTCTCGCAAAAGTGTTCAGTGTAGCTTTCTCTGCGTCTCTGTGTTAGGAAGAAAAAGTTTCAAAAAGAAAAAGAAAAAAATCCAGTTACTAAACATAGCCGCCAAAAAGTTTCGCATTCGCAAATTTTCCACCTACTTCACCAAAAACGTATTAAAGCTGTTTTACTAATTAAAAGTTGTGCTGTTAAAAATAATTTTTAAAAGTAAATGTTACAAATCTAAGTTCTAATTCATTGTCATGATGCTCAAGCTAATTGTCTTGATGGTTGGAAACAGACCATTGCTATTATTTGTACTAACAGTTTTTTGAAAGCTTTTTCAAAGAGTCTCAGAATTTCACCAATTTTCTTGCCTTGATCCTTGGGAGACAATTGGATAACAATTGGAAAGACTTTAAGTAGTAGTAGTAAACACTTGCAGGTAAGTAGCTCAACTTTGGTACAACTTGATTTTGATACAACTGATATATATCACATATCAAGGTCTGATATATATCAGACCTGATATACTGATATTTAGTTCCCAGCTGTAGCTGCTTTGCGGCATTTGAGCCCCAACGGTTAAATAGCGCATAAAACCTCCCCCCAAGATGACAACAGATTTTTCCAACAGTTTAGGTCACCTAAACTGTTGGAAAAACCTGTTGTCATCTTGGGGGGAGGTTTTATGCGCTATTTAATAGAAATAGGAAAGACATACCCTTCTTCGCGTAAACCGTCTCGTCCGCTGGTATCTTGATTATCTAAATTAATAACTGGTAAATCATGTACTCAAATATTTACCGTTTTAACTCAAATATTTACCGTTGAAGGATGATTTGAATCGTTCCCACTAATCGAGACAGTTGGCTAAAGTGATTTCACTTTGTTTTTATATCAACATATGTCAACCGGTTCCACATGGTTCCACATTGTTTTGTATACTCTTTTGTATACTCTTTGTTTGGGTTCACTTTTTTGAGTCTGTAAATATATTGAGTCTGCTATCCCTCATTCATCCGCCTTCGTTTTTAAATAAATTTTTAAAAAAAATATATAAATATCATTTCATGAAGAAAACCTCGAAAAAACAAAGCTGATCCGAGGGTTGAGGTTCGATTTTGGCAAAGTTAGTTTTTTTAAAAATTCTTACTAAAAAACAATTTTATTGAATTCTAGGGTAATTTTTAACGCTGATTCGAAAAACATGGTTTCAGCACAGGTTTCTATACAAAAAACAAATAAAGTCCATCTTTTTGAAATTTGGAGCCAGAAGCATCTCAGTAAAAAGGCTGCAAAAACTTTGAAAGTTCGAAAAAGAAAATCGAAAAATGGCCTTTTCCATGCAATTCGCTGGATAATTAGCTTTCAATTGAGCTATTACACAATCAAATGGGATAAGTTTAAGACCCTCTTCCAAGAAATCGGCGGGAACTTTCTCTGGAACCTAATATTTGTATCAAATCATCAAAAAACAGCTAATTTTTGGAAACAATTCATGTTTTTAGAAACAACAACAATGTTTAGGAATACCACTCACTTTGGCAATAAAGGTTTTGATTGGACTACCTGCTCTCGTTTCAATGCTTCTAGCATTTGAAAATCCTCGTTTATTTTTGTTAACCTTAACAGGATTTTATCGTTGGGATGAAAGTACTCAAAAAAGATGGCTTCATTGAGTACTACGCCTCACGAAATGACACAGTTTGATCATGTCTGGATACAGCAAAGTTGCCCACCATTATCTTACTTGCAGTAACACGATTTTTCTCAGCCAGCACCAACTCTTTAAACAGATCATCGTTTTCGGCATCATCAGAGTATTAAAACTGTGTAAGGGAGTATCAAATCTGTGTAGACGTATAAAACGAGGGGGGTATTAATCGCGGTCGGGTAACCATAAAAATTTTTTTACGGCAACCAATTGTTTTTTATTTTAATATCGCTGATTCTATTATAAAAAGCATAAAAATCACCCGGCTAGAGTGATTTGATGGGTTTGATACCAAAATCCTGCTGATCGAATGTAAACTAACGGTTTGACTACGGTACTTTTCTCAAACCCATCAACTCACTCTAGCCGGGTGATTTTTATTCTTTTTATAATAAAATCAGAGATATTAAAATAAAAAACAAGTGGTTGCCGTAAAAAAATTTTTATGGTCACCCGGCCGCGATTCATACGCCCCCTCCCCGCCCGCCCCCGCCCCCCGAAAAAAATGGGGTGCGAACTTAGCAATTAAGGCTGTCCCCCACAATCGCACTCGATCTGGTGCACCTCATTTTGATTTTGATTAGGAAAATCCGGTCGATACCTTTCAAATGTCAATGTACAAGAATCTGATTTCTTTTCGCTTTTTGCATTTTGTGTTTTTACCCCTCACGTTGTCTTTGTGTCCCTCCATGTGCCTGAATTCGTTTTTTCTCTTCTTTTTTTTAGTTTCGCCTGTATTGCACTCCTAAAAACCGCCTTTATTCTCATCACTTTTTTTTCGTTTCGATTAGTTTTGTGTGGAGAGGGAAAGATGCAGGAAAGTGATGAGAATAAGGGCGGTTTTTAGGAGAGCAATAAAGGCGAAATTTTAATAGTGCCTCACTACATGTTTCGCCTTAATTTTTACCTTTTCCAGAGATGACGGAACAGCTTGGCAAGCAACAACGCTCAATCATGAGGGGGCATCAGTTGGAGACAGACGATCAGAATTTGGATGCAAGAGTCTACAGAGCCGGTCAACTCGAGGCGAACACCAACGGAGGTGACTCAATCATGGATATGGAGGTATTTTGCCTTTATTGTACGCCTTAATTACCGTATTCTCTCTAATAGTAGTGCACCCTGAGCCTTACTTAAATTCCTGTAAATCTCGAAAAGCGCTTATCAGAACTTATCGATGTGGGGTCGGAAAATGTAGCTGACGATCAGATCTAGCGGGGGATTAGAGTGTTGAGCTTTTGCGAAAACTTGGAAACCGTAAAATAGTCATCAGCGGGGTGCACTACTATTAGAGAAAATACGGTATATGCCTTAATTTTCGTTTTCTAGGTACGGGCTGTTGATTTGACTGATGTGGCCTGCAGAAATCGTGGAATGCCAATGACTGATCTCTTGGACGCGTTGCGTTGACACAGCCGACACGACACGGGCCAAAGACGGGCTCCATCAATGACTTCTGCACCTCGAAAAGAGTCAACACGTCAAGGAGACCCGTTACAGCCAAGACAAGGCCAATCCGAAAAATGTTACCCCAAACAATTAACTATAGATAACTATAGATTAGGGCTTTTTATCAGCCTTTATACGAGTGGGATAAAGGCTGATAGATTAGGGGTTTCTATCAGCCCGGCGAAGGCCAAGGCCCCGCCGGGCCTTTGGCCCACCCGCCCATTTTTGCCGCTCCCAGATAGGGGGTTCTAGGCCGGCGCAACCTCCGGTGGTAAGCGCGTTATATATAAAAAAAAAACTTTTTTGAGGGCCCGTCTTAGGGCCCAAAACCCGGGATAAAGGCTGATAAAAAAGGGGTTTTATAGTCCGACGAAAGGAGAACAAAAGTCAATGACGCTGCCGTCGACAAGTGCGCAAGAAAACACATCACAATGGCGTTCATATGGTTAAATGACTTTATGGTCGGCCTTAATTGTTGAGTATTTAGGAATCGAGCACGTCTTTTTAGCACGCGGTGGCTCGTATCAGAAGTGCGAAGAGCTGCTGAAAGAAGGCTTCACTGCCCATCAAGTCGAAATGATTGCGCCAAAGGTATCCCTTTACAGACCTTACACTCAATTACACTGCCTTAATTACAGATATGGGACCAACCCCGACACGCCCTCATGCGCATCGCAAACCACTACAAGCACGCTTTTGAGGAGATTGGACGCAATTTCTGGCTCATCCACGGCACGAAAAGCAGTGGGAAAACGACCTTCGCAAAATTCTGCATGTCAACGGGTTGGTCTTTTGATCTTCTGCCTTATTTATATGACTTAATTGAATTTATTTGCCTTAATTACATGCTGAAATATATGCCTTGCTTTTAGGAGCGCAAGTATCATATTGCCTCGTGGCGCACGGCACTTTTCAAACATATCGCGATGAGGAGGTCCTCATTTTCGACGAGGCCGCCCGGTTTGTGCCGAGAGGAGAAGGAGAAACGAGCAAGAAGGGCCGAAGCGAACCGTTATGGCAACTCGAGAACTTCCTTAAACTCGCCAGCGACGACCCCACCGAGTTAGTGCCTTTATTTGGTAGCCTTAATTATACAATTTTTTGTTTAGTTTAAACGTCAAGTTTGCGAAAGCGCCGTGCAAGGCTACTCAGGTGGTCGTGATCTGCAACGAAGACCCCTTCGAAGAATTTACACGCAAAGAGGACGGCACGTTTGAGGTGGACGAATGGGGCTGCCCTCGTCGCTCATATTTTATAATAAAATTATGAAATATGAGAATTCTTGAAACTTCACAATGACTCGACCTCTAGATCTTCATTTATCGGTCTTTTCAGACTAAATTCACAGAATTTCTTCTAGATTTTTTCCGAAAACATTTATACCTAAAATTCTAGACCTCAAATTGTTCTGAAACTTAAAGAAGCATAAAAAATGAGGTTATCTCGTATTAATTAAATCTCCTTTCGTCAAAGTTTATAAATTTTTGAATTTTATTGATTCGATTTGGTCTGACAAGGTCCTTGATATCAAGGTATACAGGGTGGCTGATAATTACGTGCGCCAAAGAAAACGCCATAATTTAATTTTCTTTCAAAGAAAATGTAAAAATCTTTATTTATATAATAGTTGTAACAAAAGCATTTAATAATCACAAGAAATTTTCGAAGTGGCCTCCATCCGCTTTGATACAGGCTTCAATTCGCTTCTTTACAGAATCGACGGTGCGGCGGAGATAATTTGCATCTAAGTCGTTCCAGATTTTGATCAATTCTCGACGTAAATCATTCAAATTGGTGATTTTTCTATTTCTCAATTGTTCTTCCATAAAACCCCAAACCGAAAAGTCCAACGGATTGAGATCCGGGCTGTTTGCAGGCCATTGATCCTTCGTCAAAAAAGAGCCAATTTTGGTTTCGAGAAAGCGAATTGTTGTTTTGGCTCCGTGGGCCGGCGCCCAATCTTGTTGAAGGGTCAAATTGGGATGGCTCCTCTTCCATGGCACCACAGCTTTCTCGAGAATCTCTTTTTGATAGACTTTTGCGTTAATCTTCACATTTTTATCGATAAAAACAAACGGGGTCTTGCCCGAAGCACTGATGCCACCCCAAACCATCAAACTTTTTGGAAACAGACCTTTTGTAGCGACTTTTCGTTTACGAGTGCTCTTGAGAGCTGGACTGAGAAGTTGACGGTGATTTTGTGAGTTTTTAGCCACTTCCAAAGTGAAAATCTTCTCATCTGACCAAAGAACATCGTCAATGCGCCGCACCTTGAAAAAAGCTCGCAATTTCTTGCATTTCTCCTTCCGGTTTTGCTTGGCTTGATCGGTGAGCACTTGCCCGTTTAACAGTCGATAACTTCGAAGTCCGAGCTCATTTTTCACTATCGATTGAACCGAGAAACGCGAAATTTGAAGCTGTTTTGCCATCTTATTCAAACTACGATCGTCTTTTCGCTCGATCCTCCTCTTGATGATCCCACGCATCTTTCGGGTGTTAACGGTCCTCTTTGGTCCTCTTCCGGGCTTGGACTGAACATGCCCCTCATCTTTCCATTGCTTTACGATCTTCTGGACGGTCCTCAGAGCCACCCCAAGCCTCGATGCGATCGACGAGTTCTTCATGCCGCTCGTCGCCAGCTGTGCGATTGCGTCCCGACTAGCGCACGTCTTTGTCATGACCTAGAAAACAACTTTTTTTAACAAAAAATTATTAGACCACGATAAAAAGAATATTAAAACACAAAAAGATGAGTAGTAATGCTTTATACATTGTTTAAAACTATGATGCTGATGCTGCGCGCACGTAATTGTCAGCCACCCTGTATATAGCGCATATATCAGGTCTGATATATATCAGACCTTAGTATTAAGGTCTGATATCTGGGTTTATAGCGCATAAAACCTCCCCCCCAAGATGACAACAGGTTCTTCTAACTTTATGTTCTTACACATGAGTATACAAGATAAATTGTACTTTTTTATAAACAAATTTAATGTGGGTCATTTTAAAACCAAGCTCAAGTCGATCTGGGAGTCGAGTTATAGAGTAATATAGAAAAGTGCCATTGTGACTATAGAAAAACGGCACTTTGGCGCACTACTTTTCAAGGGTGTTTTTCTCTATGTTTTTATTAATGAGTATACAAAACAAATTGCACTTTTCTCTAGTCAGATTTAATGAATTCTTTAACTGGTAAGCTTCTTTGGAGTTTTGACATGACGTTAGAACTGTCTATATCTCGACTTATGGTTGGTCTTAAAGCAATTTCGCTTAAGAAAATTTAAATTTGTTTTGTACACTAACTTGTAAGATTGGAGGGCTAATAATAGCGCTCTCCCGGCCAAGTGCTGCAATTTTGTTATTCGGATTTTGACCGGATTTCGATTCCGAATTCGGAATTTTCGAGCATTTTAAAAGGTACGAAGAGTTGCTTGTGTTGCTATGCTTATGTTGCTATGTACGAAGAGTTGCTATGCTTGTGAATTTACCAGATTATTTATAATCTTATTGAATTTCCATTTATTGATTCTCAGTTAATTCATATTCTAATTTTAAAATCTCAAACAAATTCTCGTTATTGATTCGACGTAATCCTCATTCAATCATTGAAGATGTTTTATCGGTTTCTGGTCGATTATGATGATACTTTATTCAGATAATAAAGTGAAACCCAATAAATCATAGAGAAATGCAAATCGGATCTAAATGTAGAGACAAAAGAAAGGTACTAAGATACAAGATAGAGTGAAAATGAAAATAATAAGATTACCTACGATTGAGAGGGAAATGGTTGCGGGTATCGATTTATGCAAATTTATGCAATCTCTTAATTATCAATTTATTGTTATTGTTCAAAGTTATTGTTGAATCTCTGTTTCCTGGATGGGCTCGATAGGAGTGATGCGAAGAGTGAACTTCTCTTCTCTAAAACTCGTTCACATTCAAAAGAATACTCCATTTTTTTTTTGATTGTTAGTAGTTATTGTTTATTAATGGTCAACTCGTAAACAAACTCGGGTACAAGGGTGAGGAAACACTTCATGGCTTGGTCTTCATTTTCACTTTGTCTCCTGTACTTGATCGCGATCAAAGGATTTGGCTGTGTTGGATCAGCTAACTGAAATAGTCTTATTTCGAACTCTGGTCTCGTGTTATTAATAATTTTTATCTAATAACAGCTTTAAACAGGATTTTTTACCTCTTCCAGAAGACTCTTTTTAGCGTTATAGTTGTAGAATGAGATCTGAAGCTTTCGCCCGGAAACCGAGTTGATGCGACACCAGTTCTAAAATAACAATCATTTCTGAAACCTGACCAAAACCAACTTTGATTGGATTTTTATTAAAATCGCTCAACCAGGCGCGAATGCCCTTCTTTGTGGGTTCAATGATTTCCAGTTGCACCAAAACGTCGTCCCTCCCCGGAACTTGCAGGTCGCCGTCGATCAGATTTTGATCAAAAGCTATTCCTAAACTTTTTTGAATAGATACCGTAATAATTCTGGTAGAAGATCATGGTCTTTTATTGGTGACGGATTTTTTATTAGAATTATTATGGTAGCTTTTTTCGACGTTCAAAGATTCCAATTAATGACGACAATAAAACTTACCGGCAAATTTGAGCAGTCCAACCGTCTCATCCGGGTATCGATCGGCATTCTCTTTGAGTTCCCGAGAACCGTGACAGGGACGCTCACTGGTGAACCACGGATTCCAGGTGATGCTAAAGGGCAAATTCGTCTCTTTAGTGGTTTGGTTTTGTAAATAACTTTAGAAAGATTCTCCGCGACTCACTTTTCCTTGGTTTCCTTGGTTTCCTTGGCTAAGTCCATACGAAGCCAGAAAAGTTTTATGAAATCGCGGCTTTGTTTCCAGGTTGCTCTAATCTCGAACCACGGAAACCAATTCATTTCTGGCTTCTAAAATTTTAATATTTTCAAAAGTTCAACATCAATCTACCTTTGTATATTCATGAAGAACTCTTTGAGCTTCATCGCTTCCAATGTCAATGTAGAAATGTGTTGTTTTTCCAGCGCGGATCGTAGTAGACCACTGAAAATGGTGCTCACTTTCAACATGTTCATCTTTGCGAGTGTAACTTTTTTATAATAGGAAAGCTTACGCCTTTTTTCTCTTGAGGATCCACGATTTTTTCTTCCTCTTTAGTTCTTTCAGCAATTCTTCTTCTTTCAGCAATTCTTCTTTTTGCAAGAAAAAGCACCAGTGAGCATCCACTTAACGAACTCAATCTCAATCTCCTGTTTGCTCATGTTTGTCAGAGCAAAAAGCACATAATGATGAACAATTCGGAGTTCTAAACACTTCTCTATACTCTATACTTTGCATTCTGTCTTATTCAAGTATTTTTCCGGTATGTCTCCGTGAGCCGACAGTTTCAATTATAAAGTAATATCATCAGCTCACCAGGCCCTTCTAAAACTCCGGAGAAAGCTTTGCGAAAGTCGAGATGTAGTTTGTCTGGAGACTCAAGACACTTAAGATAAGACTTACGAAGTGGTTTGAAGCCTAAATGAGTTGTGAAAAAAGCTGGCAAGTTTGCCATTTACCGAGGTCTTTTTCCTTAACCAGTATTTGTCTCTTCTTCGAGTAGCCCCGATGACCTTGTTTTTGTTTGAGGCGCCCTTTCGTTACGTGGATTTGTGGATTGAACGTTTCCACCGGAGGCAGAGCTGCTTGACGCAGATCCTGAACGTTACTGGGTGTTTAGGTTGATCAAGGCTAATCCTGAAACTTTCTATAGTCACAAAGTCATATCTTTTGCTGAAAACTTGCTCGCTGAGAGCCACTGCTAGCTTGGTAAGCTGGGACTACATCAAAAATTAACATACAACTAACAATCAGCGATTTTCCGTATTATGTGAAGTTTGAAGGCAAGTCTGGCGTCTTGCCACCAAATGAATTTTCCTTTAAATTTTTGCCCAATAAAATTTCATCTAGGGCATGAATGCCCTAGACGAATCATGCCAAGGTTGACGAGCTGAGAATTTACTTGTAATTTCAAATGCGACGCACCGGATAATGAGAGTTATAAGAGATGAAACGTTCTTCTTCGCCATCATCTTCATTTTGCACGGGTACCGATGGAGGAGTAATCTATACGCACGCTTTTAAAGGTCAACAAGAATTGAATGACTCACATTATTTGAATTTTTGTCTACATTTTTCTCGATTTTCTCCATCTGAAATGGATATCTGAATGGGTCGCGTACCTGAAAAATGTGACGGCTTTATACATAAAAGTGAGTGATGTTTAAGAGTAGGTATGAAAAGGTATGAAAGGTATGAAAATGAGTATGAAATGGGCAATTTAAGGTATGAAAATACAGAAGGAAATTTAAAGGAAATTCATTCTCATGGTCGATTTTATATGATGGACATGGCCTTGTTGCAAAAGGCCACTTTAAGTCGGTGACTTTCCTTTGTCAAAACGACTAAGATAGACAAATAAATAAAAATTCAAACAAAAATGAATCACCAAAAAACCAAAAAAAACAAAGATATTCAACTATAAACTGCTGCAAACCCAAAGATATTAGCTAGAAAGCTAGCTAGATTTCTAGCTAGATTTAGCTAGAAATTGGTTGTCAGGTTGGTTGTAAAATTGAAATGCAAATTTGGAGTTAATTTAAAATCTAGGAATCTAGGATCTAGGAATTTATTTTCCAATAAAATAGGTGTTGTCGTTTGGCTGGAGTCGGTGTCAATCTGTGTGCATCAATCTGCGTTAATGTGCTGTCAATCACTTACTATTCTCTCGGTGTATACTGATAAGGTGTCTGAAATCTGAAAGGTTTCTCAATTTCTGTTGTCTCGTTTTGCCCGGATAACACTTGAGCCTACAACGGGAAAACTCTGGAAAAAAATTCAGTAATGATTGTTGTTTTAGAACTGGTGTCGCATCAACTCGGGTATCGGGCGAAAGCTTCGGATCTCATTCTACAATTCTAACGCTAAAAAGAGTCTTCTGAAATAATGCTATTAAATAAACATTTTGTCCGGTTCCAAATTGGGCAAAGTTGTTCCATCAATCAGAATGGGGAAACTATTAAGAGTTTGATTTCCTAAAGGAAAAAGTGTTGACTACAGCTTAGCCTAAGCAATTTCTGAAGTTTTACCGTATGATGTGTCATCAAACAAAAAAAAAACAATCAAACAACAAACATTTATCGTAATCACTTTGAATGATTGAGTGAGATCGATCAAGAAATTCACATTGCCATCAGTGTTGCTGATGATCGTGACCTAAAAAGCTGTATGATCTAAAGGCAATAAAAGTTAAATCTCATGTACCTCATTTGTGATGATTTGCTCTCTATGAATGGCAAACGACAGTGTTTTTTCATCTAATATAATATTTCTTACAGCTGCACTGAAAGTCAGAAGAACAATCGAAATGATTAAACGAATGATCACTTTATCATCTGCATATCTGAATCTGAATAGAATATCATCATAATCGACCAGAAACCGATAAATCATCTTCAATGATTGAATCAGGATTATGTCGAATCAATAACGAGGATTTGTTTGGGATTTTAAAATTTGTTGTGCAATCGTAGTTGACCGTTATATTCTCGTTTATGGCAAATGATCTGAAATTTTGAGATTTTCAAGTAAATAATGCTATTAAATAAACATTTTTTCCGGTTCCCAATTGGGTAAAGTTGTTCCATCAATCGGAATGGGGAAACAATTAAGACTTTGATTTCCTAAAAAAAAGCCGTGACTACAGCTTAGTCTAAGTAATTTCTAAAGTTTTACCGTATGATCTGACATCCTTCTTTTTTTGGCGTCTCTCCACCTAGCCTTTTCGTAAACCGGCGACGTTCCGCGGTCACATTCTGGGTTCGCAATTTGATTTATGATCAAACAAATCAAACATTTATCGGTAATCACTTTAAAGTTTTGACTCTAAAATCTCTAAAATCGCGTAGTCGTTAATTGTTTTGCCAATAATTTGTTGAAAATCAAAGATAAACTGAAATATTGAAGTCATTCAATAGCCTTGAATCTCCTCTTGGAAACTACATAGTAAACAAACAAATAAACAAAGCTACTGAAAACTTTCTGTGAAATCAATAACAAAATTCTTAAAAACTTGAGTTACCCAAAAACACCAAAAATACCGTATTCTCTCTAATAGTGATTTTCTAATGATGATTTTTAAAAATCTGTATTTCAAGAACGAATGGATCTTATTGAAAACGGTTCCAATTGAAGTCGAAAGTAGTAAATCAAAATAGATTCTCCAAAAATGATTTACTATCGAGAGTTTTGCCTAATCAGTCCTAAAAACATTAAAAACGCTGTGAATAAGCTGATAAATACCATTTTGTGGCTTTAACACGACGTTTAAATGCTTAAACACTAGTAAACACTAGGCTTTGCGAGAATTCAACTTTTCAAAACTGTTTTTAATGACTAGAAAATTAGAATAGCATCTGATTGGAAGCAATAGTGCAAGCATATAAGCAGTTGTAAGCTTTTTTAAAGTAAATAAAGTAGCTTTTAAAGTATGCGAACTTTGGCAAAAGTTAGTGATTTACTATGAGATTTACTTCCTAAAAAACTCTTAATAATAAGTAATGAAATGGATTTGAATGGATTTGCTGAATTTGCTGTTGAATGCTCTTTTTCGCTTTCGGTTTCAATCGTTCGGCTGAAATTTTGCTTGGATAGTAAATAAAATGTAAATTTTGCAGCCGCCAATGCAAAATTTTGCTTAAAAATCAATGATTTACTATCGAGCGTTAAATACACATGTTTACCATTGGAGGGATTCTCCCAAAGTGATTTACTATCGAGCGTGATTTAATATCGAGCGTGATTTACTATTGAGCGTGATTACTATTGAGCGTGATTACTATTGAGCGTGATTTACTATCGAGCGTGATTACTATTGAGCGTGATTTACTATCGAGCGTGATTTACTATTGAGCGTGATTACTATTGAGCGTGATTACTATTGAGCGTGATTTACTATTGAGCGTGATTACTATTGAGCGTGATTACTATTGAGCGTGATTTACTATCGAGCGTGATTTACTATTGAGCGTGATTACTATTGAGCGTGATTTACTATTGAGCGTGATTACTATTGAGCGTGATTACTATTGAGCGTGATTTACTATTGAGCGTGATTACTATTGAGCGTGATTTACTATTGAGCGTGATTACTATTGAGCGTGATTACTATTGAGCGTGATTTACTATTGAGCGTGATTACTATTGAGCGTGATTACTATTGAGCGTGATTACTATTGAGCGTGATTACTATTGAGCGTGATTTACTATCGAATGATTTATTATCGAGTGATTCACTATCGAATGTAATTTACTATCGAGTGATTTACTATTGAGCACTATAAATTTATAGTTCTGAAATTGATCTGAAATTTGTAATTTAATTTGAAATTTGATTTGAAAGTGATTAGAAATTAATCTGAAATTGATCTGAAATTTGAAATTTGATTAGAAATTGATTTGAAATTGGTCTGAAAATTGAAATTTCATTTGAAATTTGATTAGAAATTAATCTGAAATTGGTCTGGAAATTGAAATTTGATTACTATATCTACATCATTTTCTACAGGAACCCACGTGCAATATCCTTAAGAATTCGTGCTTTAAACAATCATCAGCTGTCGGCCTTTTCATCATATCAGGCTCGAGCATCATTTTGATCAAGTCTCGGAACTCTTCACCTTGAAATACCTAGCCTTGAAAGTAGGAATAAGCTTTATCTCTGTCTCTTTGCGCTTAAATCGATCGCTGTTATCATTGTCCCCGTTTTTGTGGCAAAAGGAAAATGGCTGAGACTGTGAGCTTTCGGCGTTTTGATTAAGCGCCGAGGACCCAAAAGTCTCATAAAACATTCTTTTAACGGAAGAAAAATGAAAAATTTGTTTTATGGGGCTTTTGGGTGCTGGAAGTTTAAGGCTGTAAAGATTAAGGTTTGTTTTATTTCAAAAGCAAAACGCCGAAAGCTCACAGTCTCAGCCATTTTCCTTTTGCCACAAAAACGGGGACATAACATGACAACAGCGATCAATTTAAGCGCGAAACGACAGAGATAAAACTATTTCCTACTTTCAAGGCTATTGATTTAAGCAAATTTATGCAACCGCTTAATTATCAGCTTTCGCGAGTTGACCAATAATAAACAATAACTACTAACAATCGGTTGTGTTCAAAAAAAATGGAGTATTCTTTTGAATGTGAACGAGTTTTAGAGAAGAGCAAGAGGTAAAATTCGCTCTTCGCATCACCGAGGCTCCTATCGAGCTCAGCCAGGAAACAGATTTTCAACAATATTGAATCATAGAAAGTTAATAATTAAGACGTTGCATAAATTTACATAAATTGATAACCGCAACCATTTTCCTTTCAATCGTAGGTAATCTTATTATTTGCATTTTCACTCTATCTTGTATTTTCGTACCTTTCTTTTGTCTCTACATTTATGACCCGATGTGCATTTCTCTATGATTTATTGGGTTTCACTTCATCATCTGAATATCTGAATCTGAATAGAATATCATCATAATCGACCAAAAATTGATTAAGCATCTTCAATGATTGAATCAGGATTATTTCGAATCAATAACGAGGATTTGTTTGAGATTTCAAAATTTCTTGTGTAATAATAGTTGACTGTTATGGCAAATCGACTGCAATTTTGAGATTTTCAAGAAATAATGCTATTAAATAAACATTTTGTCCGGTTCCCAATTGGGTAAAATTGTTCCATCAATCAGAATGGGGAAACTATTACGAGTTTGATTTCCGAAAAGAAAAAGCGTTGACTACAGCTTAGCCTAAGCAACTTCTGAAGTTTTACCGTAGGATGTGACATCAAACAAAAAGTTAACACATCTGTCGGTAATCGCTTTAAAGTATGCGAAATGAATGCCCAAAGTATGTCCAAAGTATTCCCAAAGTAGGCGGGATTTAAGCACAAAGTATTTAAGCCCAAAGTATTTAAGCCCCAAGTTATTTTTCCCGACTGCTACCGCTACTGCTTTACACTGACAGCCGTATAGGAAGCATGAATGGCCTTCTTTTGTACGTAACCGGATTACATTATCCTCCCTTTGGGCTCCGGCTCCTGTCCTCTGTCCGCGGCCTGACAGCCGTTTAGATGGGAGAAGTTTGGACACCCCGTTGGATGGACCGTGAG